GCCAGTGGAGGGCTCTCACAGAAAGCCAACATCTTGAGAGAGACTCTGATGGCAGGACGAGCTAAGTGAGGCCATGAAAGGGATCCCCAGAAAACCTGGGCATCCTGGAGATGCGCAGGCCTGAGTCCCTCTGGCTCTCAGAGACTGCTGGGGCCTGGCCTGGTGCTAACACACACACACACACACACACACACACACACACACACACATATATATGTGTGTGTGTATATATATATATATATATATATATATATATATATATATATATATATACATATACTCAGGGTGGGTCCAGGAAGTCTAATTCATGAGCTTGTGGCATATCCTGGGGATCCAGAGAGCGTCCCAACCCCAATATCACATCAAGTCACTCACATGTGACAACAGCTCGTTAGGAATTGGTAAAAGGGAGAGAAGGTGATTTAAAAGAGATTATGTGAAACACGCCAGCCAACTGCAATATTATGGATTTGGCCTGGGTTCTAAACTGATCGACCTTTAAAGGGGGAACAGGACAGGAGACAGCTGGGAGAAGTGAACTGCTCCTTTGTGAACGCAAGCGGTGCCGTTTTAATTGAGATGATATATTGTGCTCATGCTTCAGCTGTGAGATAGATGGTTCTCCCCAGATTCACACATTAAAGCTCTAACATCTAGTACCTCAGCGTACGGGTGTATTCAAAGGTATAACTATGTTAAAATGGAGTGGTTCAAGCAGGACCTAACACAGCCCAGCTGATCAGGAGGCAGAGACGTACCCGACAGAAGCGCAGATAGAAGACCATGAAGGCATCCAGCAAGATGGCGGCCATTTACAAGCCACAAAGAGAGAGATCGTTATATCCAGACTCTCCGTTTCGTAGTTCTGGGAAATTAAGTTTCTGCTGGATTAGCCATCAGATTGTTGTTGGCCCAAGCAAGTTAAAACAGTTTATAGAGTGTATCTCGGCACAACACACTGAAATAGTCACAGGTGAAATGACTGGCTGGTTGGGTCTTACTTTGAAATAACCTTTGAGAGAGGATGAGGGAAGGGGTGGACTAACCAGAAGGAACAGGAGTGGTTAAGACTGGTTATGAGCTGCATGAATTAGAAGCAGGTGTGGTTATACTGGGCTTACTCCTGGGTTCATTCTACTAGTATCCTCTCTCCTTGTTCTGAAATTGTCTACAGTAAAGAACAAAACAAGATCTAACACAACACAACACAACACAGTAACAATGACAACAGACTGAAGAGGAAATGAGACTTATGCTTGTGGCTCGGAAAATCTTGGCCATACCATAGGCTACCAAGGAGCTGGGCCCTCAAGCCCTGGAGTCTTTAAAATTTTCCCAGGGGGAGTTCTCCACAGGAATCAGTTGTTACGATCACTGATCTCTACAGGGAGCTAGATGTTCTCTGTGAAGACTTAGGAAGCACCATGTTCCTGGAAGAGGAAAGTATGAACCTTTCAATACAAAGCCTTCTACGCTAATTTATAAATTACAATCCAATTAAAAGTTGTGATAAGCTGTGTTGACTAGGAGCTGGCGGTATCTATTCTTCTGAAGTTAAGCTTGGTGGCACCCTGTACTTTGGCCAACAAGTTATGGCCAGGAACAATCGTTATCATTTCTAGGTAGTAGTTTCTAGAACCAGGCTCTCTCTACGTACTGTGAGACTGGCCATGTTCCAGCTGGTGGCTGCTCTTCAAACCTGGGCCTTTGTGTGAAGACAGTAAGCAATGACAGAGCCCCAAAAGCCCCAGGCTATGCCATGAACATGGAGAATAAGCAGAAATACATCCCTGCCTTTGAGCTGCTGGGCTTTGGGGATGTGTATCAGCTGGTCTATCCCGTCTGATACAGAAATTCAACATGGAATTTAACCAAATGATTCTGAAGTTCGGCTGAGAAACAGAAAAGAGTGGATGACAAACGCAACCGCGAAGGGCCAGCAAGCCTGGGTGAGTGACGTCAAGTACCAGGCTATGTCAAGTGCAACAGTGATTTGAAATGAACAATGGCTGGTGACAGATGTAAAACTCCACAGATGTATTTGGGCTGAGGCATGAGAGGTGGCTAATGAACTTAGGAATTTAACATGTGGTTAACCGTGGTGAAGGTTTTTCACTTCTAGCACGTTAGCTGTTAGGCTGCCTCTGTTTACCTGTTGAGAGACACAAACCTAGGCTTTGCTCTAATGAATCAGCCCACTCTTATTAAAAGAGTGCTCCTTGCTCACCAGCCCGAGGAGTCACTTATCAAAAATCAATTGATTTTAGCTAAAACAGCGACTGAGAAAAGCTCTCTCTCTAGCATCTTGCAAGTCACCACTGACATGTTAGATTTCAGTAGGCTCGCTGAATTCTGTATTTTTATACCTCTTGAAAGTTGTGTTTGTTTGACCTCAACCCTACTAACAGATGCACAGCAGAAGCTAAACAAGGTACAGACACAGAGCAAAGGAACAGCAGAGTCACAAAAGTCCTGTCTCCTCTAGGCCACCTGTCCTGGAAAATGACGACAGACTATAAAAATGCTGCTGCAGCCGAGGAAACTGGAACTGAGCGAGGCTCAGCAAGACCACCTTGCCAGCTGTGGTAGGCTGGAGTGCCTGGAAACCCACAGTCTGGTTCTTCTGCCTGGCTCTCCTCTGAGAGCACACTCCACCCGGAAACTCCACTCCTCCTTCCTACCTTGCTCCAGCCTGTAATGCCTTCTGTTGGGTCTCCCCTATCTGCTGCCCGGGACCCTCTTGGGATGAGGTGCCTGGTTCTTAAGAGACTCAAATGCTCTAACCAGCTGTGCGATGTCTCTGAAGGTTGGAACAGCTGGATCTAGGCTCCTGTCTCAGCTCTTCTACTTCCTGGCTGACACCCCTGACGACAAGGCTCCTCCCTGAGCTTCAGTTTCTTCATCTGAAGTGCATCTTTCTCTGGGTTTGCTGTGCTTGAGGCCAGCACATATACTAGGTGTAGGTGCATGACTGGTGGTAGTGGCAATGGTCTCAACCTCTATGTGACAGTGGCTTCAACTCTACTTCTTTTTATGTCAGAGTCTTCAAGCTCTATATAGTCAAGGGTGACCTTGCACTTCTGATCCATCTGCCTCTGTCTCCAGAGAGTCATGAACGACCACACTGGTTCATGCAGTTGAGGGCTGAGCACAGTGTTTTGTACCTGCGAGGTCAACACTGTTCTAAGTGAGCTGTGCTCCCAGGCCCCTCGCTGGCGTTTCTAATTTGTGCGGTGTACTTACTATCGGATGGAGCTCCGAAAGCCTCTGCTGAGCCTTGCAGCCAAGGCTCGTGTCATTATCCTCGCTCGTCCAGATGGCTTTCCGTCTAATCAAGGATCTTAGGCCCACTCCCTATTGTTCTCATCTGTGTTCCAAGTTGTCTAGTTCAGGGATTCGGAGCCAAGTCTCCCTCCACATGTCACATGTCCCCACGCACCTGGATTTTTATCTATTTCTCGAGCCACTGACCAGACTGACCAGAAGCATCTGTGAAAGGGGTGTCTGAGTTATGGGGGTGAGCGCCAGGGTGGGAATGGACTCGGAGCCACTTCCAATGCAGTCCTATGACTGCCAAAAACCACGCATGTGTATCCTTCCCTTACCTACTCGTGAGAGTGGGCCCTCACCAGTTACCAATGGCAACGGACGTGACCCCATACAAGATCTGACAATATGTACAAATACATAGGAATACCCAACTGCATAATTCTGCTAGAAATCTACTTTGAAGATGTCATTAACGGGAAGAAAATGACAGAGGCTGGGGGGGGGAGGATCATACACACACATCCAAGGTCTACTTGGCTACTGATCAAGGTCAGGGCCAGCCTGGGCAACTTGGTGAGCCCAGTCTCAAAGTGACATGCTGTTTGTGCAGCTTCAAAAAGAGTGTGGGCTTAGTCCCTGGTACTTAAGAGAGAAGAAAAAAAAACTATGGACAAGATATTTATAACAATAATTAAAATACTGAAAAAACATATCTTATGACTATAACTGAACAGCAACGAGGCTCTTAAAGATTCAATATAATGACTACGTATCTTCAAAGTGACTATAAAGTTACTTTAAATAAGTTACTATTAGTATATAAACTGTGAGTGCAACTAGATGGAAGGGGAGAGTGAAGAATCAGAAACTGCTGTATGGCGAGATCACAGAGAAAACGTCCAGTTGTTTCCCATGACAACATATTATAATTCCTTTGCTCACACAGATGCATCTTTTATGTGTTTATTATTTATGTGGTATGTATGATCAGAAGGGAGGGCCAATGGGAATCAAGAGTGAACAGTTCAGGGCTGGGCACGGTAGTGCACATCTGTAATCCCAGCACTTAGGAGGCAGAGGCAGGAGGATCACTGCAAGTTCAATGCCAGCCTGGATGATAATAGCATTAGTTCTAGAATTGCCTATGCTATCAAGTAAAACCTTGTCTCGAAAACAAAAACACAAACAAAAAAAAGAAGAGACAGTTCAGAAGTGAGGACTTTGGGTAACAGGGTTTCCTTTAAAATTAAGAAGCATCTGTGTAAAGTCGACAGCCTGCCTATTCCTGTCTTCAAGAACTTGAGAATCCAGCAAGCTGTTGGTGTGCAGATTCCTTCCCACTGACACTAATATACCCACACTACACCTCTAGCCGTCTGGTAGAATGTGGAGGGCAGGTGTTGGAATAGCATAGTGAACGGGTTAAGTCCAGCTATGAACATGATCTCCCTGGATCCAGCGGCACTCTCCGACCAGTCCAGGCCCATGAGCAAGACCTTCCCCGATGAACCTCGAGGAGCTGGGATGGGTGCCCATCCAGAGCTGCTCAGGAACAGCATCACAAACGCCAGTGTAAGCTGCTGTAGGAGATGTGCCCCATCATCTCCTGTGGATGTTCACAAATGCTACACTTACAATACAGGGCAGAAGGCTGGAGGGGCTGTGCACCTTCTGTGACAACAGAGAAAGGGGCAAGGGGGAAGCTCCATTTGGCCATGCCCCCTGCTTACCATAGGTGAACATGCGTGGGGAGGTCAGTTCAATGTTGGGGAGGGCTCCCAGGTGGTTCAGCACTGCGCAACGGTAGCCATTTTTCTGGGCATAGTCAACGAAGGTTCGGATATACTGCTTCTCGCTGTGATTGGCAATTCCAGGACAGATGACCATGGTGATGTCATCTACAGGGTGGAGAAAGAGATTCTTATGTATCTATTCAATATATAAACACTGATATTAACAGGTGTTGAGGTGGTGGGATTCTGGGTAATCCCCCCCCCCCTCCCTTGAGTCTCCCTTTGCAGCCCTGGCTGGAATTCACGTAGATCTACCAGTCACTGCCTCCCTAGTGCTGGAACAAAAGAAAGGTGCGCGCCACCATGCCTGGTCTGTTCTTCTTTTTCAGTCTGGTCTATTTTTCATTTTTAAATGCTTCTGTTTATCTGTTTGCCAAAAGGAAGATTTATTCCTTCCACAGGCAGGAAAATAAATCATAAAAGAAATAAAACAGCTCATTTTTTAAAGAGTGTTTCTTGGGTGCAGACACAAGCACTGATCTTTGCAGGGAGCCAGGCTGATGGGAAGTAGTGGATAAGAAACTTAGAGTTGGTTTTGCCTTTTCCAACCCCGTACTGAGTACCAGCAAGAACGGACGGCTCACATTCTGAGTACCAGCAAGAACGGACAGCTCACGTACTGAGTACCAGCAAGAATGGACAACTCAAGCTAAATTTTATGCTACTTTGTTGTCATTGTTGTTGTTTTCAGACAAGGTCTCATGTAGCTCGTGCTGGCCTTGAATTTCTGATCCTCAAGGGTTCATCTCTTGAATGTTTGGATTTTAGGTGTGAGCCATCACACCAAGCTTAAACTGTATGCTTAAATGCTAGAAGTCAAATTATTAGAAATAAGAGAAAGAAAGCATTTAACTAACTATGGTGGGGGGACAGATATATGAAGGACCCACTACAATACTTACAAATGTAGTGGGAACTCCTGCCCTACCCATGTACTCATTCCTTTTGTGGTTGTTTGCTGAGAGCACACTCTGGGCTCTGGGGATTCCTGCACTGCAGCAGAAGGGCCCTAAACAGCTACAGAAGTAGCTAGATTGGCAGGTGCCATGAGGGACAAAGGCAGGGAGGCACCATGAGTCAAGAGAAAGGATCTGTAGCCTCAGAGGAGGTGACATCTGAGACCTGAATGACAAGGAGGTAGCCACGTGGGGGTCTGAGGAGGAAAGCTACTCAGCAATTCCAGTTCCTTGGAATAAATGAGTTGGAGCAAATTTGCTGCAATTTACCTATAAATAATGACTACACTCCTGTAACAAACTAGGTATCTTTGAATAAACAAAAACCATGTTCTCTTCTGGTAGGGACTGCATTCAAAAGGACGCTGGCATCCAACTGCACTTCCTCTGAAGGCTTCATTATGAGGCATTTGTAATCGCTGTTTACTGTATAGCTGGGAAAGCACACTGCCAAACCCTAGCAGCAACGGAAATTGGAGTTATTTCTTGGATGAGGTGTCACTGACTCATGAAAAGTAAGAATGGCTTTAATGTGTCCTTTTGTCTGAGGAGATTTATACACCAGGCACCCGAGAGCCTTTACGCCCTGCTGCTCAGCAAATAAACCCACCCTAGATTGCTTTTCTAAGCACCAGCTTCCCAAGGTTCAAGGGAGATAGCATCGCCCACCTCAGAGGGCATGGGGCGGGGGGGGGGGGATTGGGGAGATAACAGTAGGCACTTAGGAATTGTTACTGACACTGACTGCATCCTGGGGGCTCTGGGCTTCAAGCTCTTCCCGTCATCCTTTAAAATAGGCTTCCATACTTTATGGGGGGATTGTAATTCTCTACAGATTGTGGCTAATATGAACTAACACAAGCACAGGCTGGAGTTAATCCTGATGACCTGGCCTCTGAAAGCAATGGCACAATGGGTGGCATAGGCATTTTACACATTGCTCTCCACTGACGGCTGTTCCTCTTTCCAGGCAGCCCAACACCAGGACCTAAAGTGGCTCACCTCCAACACAGTGCTCAGCCAGGGGCTCGAAGAGGTCGAATGTAGAAGTGGCACCGTCCGACATGGTGATGAACTTGCGGTGCCCGTAAGGGTGTGGCGACCTCACCCTCCCCATCTTCCCATACAAGGCTGTCTGGATATGTCCACTTTTCCCCCAGATCAGTGGCGGAATGTATCTGAGAAAGAAGAGGAAGGAAAATAGGAGAAGTTAGTTTTCTCCATATTTATTGAACAAAGGTACCCTAGTTTTTAAGGTTTTCCTCGACAAGTTATTCTGTACACTAACCATAAACACAACGGGTTCTCTGGGTTGCAGGGCCTCATGCATACTGAGTGAGCGCTTCGGCACTGAGCTGGACATTTCTACCCACCTCATATCCATACTCTGCTCATTAATGCCTCCCACACCACACTAGCTTTAGGAACCAACCCTGGTTTCAAATTTAGAGCATCAAGCAATTCAACACGGGTTATTTCTATAATCAAGGGGAAAAGAAAGCAAATATCATCCTCTGAATACATTCTGTGTGACAAGATTGACCTCATTATTTCCAAATGAGCCGATGTACACAGAGTGGCTCGCACGGCACCTCTGCTCAGTAAATGGTCACTTCTGCCACAGCTGCTGTGGTTGGTTACTCCACTAACAGGAATTCTGCTCCCGGCGACACCATGAAGAGCTGCAGACTCTCCTCAGCCTCTAACTAACTTGGGATCTAGAGAGCACTACAATAAACCTCAGAGAACGTGTCAGAAGGGCGAGCAGTATTTCTAACGGATTAGTGAAGGCTAAAGGCTTCTTCCACTGAGCAAGGCATGACGCCTCCCTTACAACTGTCCTTTGTGAAGACAACAGTGGCCTTGGAATGAAATACAAGAACTAAAAACCCCATTAATTCCTGGGAAAGAGATTGTTCCACTTAAGAATTGAGGATGGTTCATGGCCCTGGTACAAGGCGATCCCATTTACTGAAAATGATATCTGTTTACCTCACAGCTTTTCATCCGAGATCAGTGGTGTGTTCTACATGAACTAGAATCTCCTAATGGAACACAGTGGTGGCACCAATCTCTCAGCTCTGTATTACGTCCCAGGGGTGTTTTATTAATGATTTATCTTAACCTATTTGTTCATTCATGCTTAACATTTCCCTCAGAAGCAGATGGTTCTAGAAGTTCTTTTTCTATGTATTCCTTGTGTATGGGTACTATTAAATACACATGAAATTAAAGAGGTAAAGCTCCGTCTTGAGCAAGTCCCCAGGCAAACTGCTTCTTTGGGGCTGGAGAGAAGGGAGGAGGGTGTTTAAGTGACAGGACATGGGGCCACTTGCCAGCAGGTACAAAAATCCCCATAGAAACAAATGGCTGGATTTGCAAAGCAGAGGAAGGTGTGTTTAAGGGCTGAGTGGTTAGGATGGCAACAGAAAGCAGCCTTGTAAAAGCAATGGCAAACAGACACCTGAATTCTGTGTGTGACCCAGCCACATAACATAAGTTACAGAATCTCCCAGAATGCCCCTGGGCTGTGTAGAGGGAGAAAGGAGAACCAGGAAACCAAACTCCTGAGGAAAATTAGAGGGGCATTTCCCTTACAATATGAATAATAATAAAAAAGATAAATAGACTGAGGTTAAAATTATTGGAACAGGAGGCAGGTGGATCTGAGTTCAAGGTTAACCTGGTGTACAGACTGGGTTCCAGGACATCCAGGGCTACATAGAAAAGCCCTGTCTCAAAAAAAAACCAAAACAAAATGAAAACCAGCCAACCAAAACCAGAACAAGTATATTTCACATGCTACCTTTAAATTTTGCTTAGAATATGACTTAATCTTAGGAAATATGGCAAAAAAAAAATTACAGCCAAATCTCCTGTTGGCTATTTGCAGATTTTGCATATTAGGGTTGTTGTAGCAGATATTTAATGATGACACACACACACACATCTGCCAGCCACCCCCATGACACATAGCCTCCTCTGAATCTTAGCTCCCCGACCTTGTGGCCTCCTAACTCTTGTCCTGTTCCCCACCCACTCCACTGTTCAGTTGTCCACCTTGCCAATGGAAAGAGAATCTCAACACACAAATCTTGTTGCAGCTCTCCGATGCACAGGTCCATAGCTTGGCCTAGAGTTGGTTACACCCTGTGTTTCTCTAACTCTGCGTAAGCTCCAGAGCTAACCAGTGTCTCTGCTTCACCTCGAATGGACACTCCTGGGGAACAGTGCCTTTATTCCAGATGCCTAGCTTGCCACCCTAGTTCCTCCTGGCCACTGGTCCTTGTCTTTAGGAGTCACTCCCTATCAGGTTGGTTGCTGGGTCACTGTCTCGTTCCTGAGCACTGCTCTGTCCTAGCACCCAGGTAGCTCCATTAGTCGGGAAGCTCTGTCTAGGCACACCTCCTACCACATTTACCTTAAGGTCTATGCCCAGGGACCCACATTAAGCACTGAGACTGAATTTGCTGAAATGACAGAAAACACACCCACTTAGCCAATCTTAGGTTTTAAAGTATCTTTAAAAGATAGTATGTATTATGACAATGGGAGTCTAGCTCTCATCTGATTGGCATTTGGTGACATTCTCAGAGTCTGTAGAATAAAATCTTCAAAGTATATGTGTATGCGCGCAACTGCCTTAGAATCACAGTGTGAGGTCAACCGTGCACAGCATAAGTCTCACAATCTTTAATTGTTTGACAATACCACCTACGGATAAAACACCATTTTTAATTAACTTCACAATAACACGCAGCAGGACTTACAAAGCTGTGATTTTGATGTAAGTTTAGTGTGGTGGGTTTCTAACCGCATTAAAAAAATTTTATATAACTTATCAAAAAACTACAAGAAAAAAAAATCAAAAATAGTGCTCAGAATGGTCCAGGTTAGGGAAGAAATACAGACCCAAAGGATATAATATTCTGGAGTTTAAACAATGCACAGAAATGCTGGGAGACACTGCTGACACGGTCTGTGGAAGGACATGATTATTCCATCACTTATGCCACCATTTGTCTGAATATAGTAGTCGTTAGCTTGCCTGACCTTGTGTCTGAAGGTCACTCTCAGATCTAGGCCAGTCTGGGATGGGTGGGCAGAATGTAGTGGAAGGACAGCCCTACGCCTGTTCCTTAAGACCAGGTGGCTTTGTGTTTGCCCCTTGGAACCTTGGAGGATAGGTGCAATTTCAATTCTATAGATAATGCCAAATCGCCTTCCAAAGACAATAGATCAATTTATATTCCTACCAATAATCCATGAGGGCACTTGTTTGGCTTCTTTACCCTCATCAATAGCTGGCATTGATCTTTTACATTCTGGCCACTTTAATGGGCACCTCATTTCAACATGTTTGAGGCGGATCCATTTATGCTTTTTAAACATGTCTCTCGGGACGGCAAGTGGGCTTGGAGGGTAAAGGCATTTTTTTTTTTTCCAAGCCTGATGACCTCACTTCAATCCCCAGGATACACATGGCTACTGCGAGTTGACCTCTGACCTCCACAGGTGTGCGTGGCACACACGTCCGCTCCCCAAAAAAATGTAAAAGTGTTTCTCACTTCAATTTCTGTTTTCCTGACTCATGTTTCCTACTATTTGCATTTATTTCTGTTCTGTGAATTCTGCTTATGCTGTTTATTTTCTATTATATTTTTATTCTTTTCCCTGTTAATTTGTATTTTTATTAGTGCCATATTATTAGACACTATCATTTGTATGTTAGAATTGTTTTCTTATTAATTATATTATTGTATGCGTAAGTTCACATTGGTTTCTGAGACAGGGTCTCAATATAGAAGCCAGGTTGGGCCTGAACCGGCAATCCTCCTGCCTCAGTCTCTTGAGTGCTAGGACTACAGGTGTGTATGATGGCGCTCAGGAAAGTTTAATTTGATTTATACATACTTTTTTATATTTTTGTGGTTAAATGTGGTAGATCTTAGAAATTAAACCTTTATCCTTTGGCTCCCCCTCCTTCTAGCTTGAGTCTGGTTTTAAGATCTTTAGACAGTGTCTTGTGCAGCCCATAGGAGCCCTGAACTTGCTGTGGAGTTGAGTCTGACCTTGAACGCTTAGATCCTCTTGCTTCCCCCTACCGAGTGGTGGGATCAGAGGCTTGTGCCACCATGTCTGACTTTGCCTGGTATTTTACGAAGAGTGATTCCAAAACCCATTTATAACTCAATCACCCGTTTCCTCTTATGCTTACAGTTATTTTTTTTTTTTAAGAAATGTATTCTCCTTAAATGCACCCATTCCTCTAAATGACAGGAAGATGCAGCTCGCCTCCGAACACACAAGGTCACTATTCTTGGATGACAGTAGATGTTCCACTCATCCAGACTGATTTCCACCATTACCTGTAATATACGGCAAGGTCCTGGTAACATATGCTTCTCTACTCACTGTTTGGATTCATCTATCTGTTTGTCTATTCACTTGCCAGTATGGCTGTTTAAATCAATCGAGCTTATGGGATATTTTGAGAGATAAAAATTCTGGTCACCTTCACTATTCTTTTGCAAAATTTCCTCAGATTCTTTCTGAGGATTCTTTCTTTCTTTTTTTTTTTTTTAAATTTTTCCAGGTAAATTATATGATTGGTAAATTATATATTGTTGCGTTCCTGGGAAACTCTGAGAAGATTTGATTGAAAACATATCAAACATGTATCACCTTGGTGTTAACAGACAAGTTTGCACCAATTCGTCCCATCTAGAAACATGGCACATCTCTACATCCCACAGGAAAGCTTCATGGTTTAGGGCGTGCAGTTTCATTGCACTGCTTTGCATGGGGTCATGCACACTGCTTAAGCTGTACACAAGAACTGGGGCATATGGTCATGTTTATCTCTAACAAAGCAAGAGTAATGTTTCCTCCTCCTTTTCTAATCTCGCTGCTCTGTCCACGGTCGTGCTGGGGCCTGTGATTAATAAAGGCGCGTTACTAAGAAACGAACTACAAAATAGAGGCCAGCCTGTCCTTATCAGATCAACATCTGGCTTTCCTAACAAAACTGCCCGACGGGAAGGACTGCAAGGGAAAACTCTGGACCCTCCTGCCAGCCCACGTGCCCCAAGGGATGCACACTGCACGCATGCACACTGCACGCATGCATACAGCACGCATGCACACGCACACCGTCTTTAAGACTGAGCAAGCAAAT